ATCCCCTAGCACTGCTTTGCGGCTTATTTTAGAGTCAAAGTGGTATAGAGGTGAAAATATGGAAAGTACAGAGAGTAAATGTTGATAAATGGCTTTATTTTGATTTATGGTTATGAATTAAGAGCTCGCTGCATCTTAATGGTTTTATCTAAATGTGAGAGAATTTCGTTTCCTGAAGAATTCCTTTCAACAACCAGTTAATTCACGTTTGAGCTTTCTTCACAGGTGTTTTATTTGCTTAAAGACCAGCATCCAAATGGTCTTAATAACCACACCAGTCATAACCGTCTAACCGAGCGTCTTGCGCGGGCGTTCTGCCTGGCACTGTGTCAGTCTCTGTGTTTGCTGAAGGAAGATGGCATGACCAAACTGGCACTGAGGGTCATCCTGGACGGGCAGAAGGTGAGATAGTGATCATTTCATGGGGTTTTATAATGGGTTTTTTTTAATTTATGAGTAAAATAAAGCCTGTGGTAAACATAACATGAGGATACTTTTACGTTTTGTTCTACAATGTAAACTGCACAATGTCGCAGCGAAGATGTTGAATTAAACGTAAACACAGCACATACTGGCCCTGATGATCATAACTTCTACTTACCACTTGCTCCATTTCTGCAAATCAGTTTTTGTGAATGAATGACTTGCTCTACCTGTTGCTTTGGTCTTCATCAACACCCGCTTGCGCCACCTGCTGGTGATCGATCATGCATCGGTACTCTACTGCTATTCCTGCAGTTCCCGGATGTGCAATGCTGAAATGTTCTGCCGAATTTGAACCACTGAATTTGTGGAAGCGAATTTGTGAAATGAAATAAAATGGACTGAAAATTGCCTGTCAGATATTATACATCGTATTTTTAAACAGATTGAATATTTCGGAAGTGAACTCTGGCAGGTGAATATGGATTATTGAATTTTTCATTATGAAAATGTGTGAAATGTTTTGAATTGAAATATTCAAAGCTTAAATTAAGAACTACGTTGAATTTCAGGCCCTGAAAATACAAGGCATTAAAATCCAAGCACTGTTAATACAATGCATTATTTTTTCAGTTGGTGCAGCTCGACATGCTTTTTGTTTCAAAGACATTTGTCATTATTTTTCTTCCATATCTTTTGCTGTTGTAAGCTGTATGGACCTTAGAAATAACTGAAATCGTTTGGCGAAGTGATATGGACATGTAATGCGGTCAAGACCTGCCTGGAGCTACTTTTGCCGTGCGGTTCCCTGAAAATAATTGTATACCTTAGAACATTCGTCAGCCAATCAGATTCAAGCATTCAATTTTATATATATATATATATATATATATATGAGATTTAGTTCATAGTTTATATTTACACATTTTCTACCTTCAAAGGAAAACTCCTTATTCCTTATCACATGTACTGTATTTTCCAAGGCTGCTATTTGACTAGCATTTTTATTACTCTACCTATGTACTCAGAACTGTATTCTCAATCTCAGATTCGATCTCAGATTTAGCATGTAATCTTTCAGTTGTTGTAATTATTGTAGATCAGTATTGTGTAATGGAGTGTAGCATGTGAGTGTAATGTGCATGACTTTCCCCCCCAATGACGACAGTGTTCTGCTTTACTATTAGTGCTGTATTTTGATTCAATCTCTGGGGTTTTGATCAAAGGTCAAGACACCAAAGGGCAAAAGTTTTCTTATCGTGATTTCTTGAATCTTTCAGATGGAGTTTTTGGCAGGCAGTAATGGTCAGCGCCTTCCAGCACTGTACCAGGACTGTCTTAACCAATCATTAACTTCTGTGGTGCAGAGTAACTCTCAGTACCAGGGTCTCGCCGCCTGCCAGCTGGAGCTCATCTTCTATATTCTGGAGGACACGTCATAGAGACGGACCACCCACTGTCACATGTGCCAACACTCCCAGAAACCTCATGAGCAAAACCTTTGAGTTCAGTATCATTTGAGAGTGGAATGTAGTAGACGTCCCCATCGGGCAGCTTATTTTAGTAGTTTAGTCGATTCCCTACTGCTCACTGTGACAGGGTCTGGGGTTACAGCATCAAATGACTTTAAAAACTACTAACATTTCTCAGTCAGCACTAGAAGCCGACCGATATATAATTTTTGCTGATCAATTGACACCAGTAACAGCTTTTGTAACTATTGAATAATGGCAAAAATTAACATTTATGGAAGCCCATTTCTGAGTTTGGAAAGGACGTGACATGTGGCCAAGTATGGTGTCCCATACTTGGAGTTTATGCTCTGCATTTATCCCATCCAAGTGCACACACACAGTAGTGAACACACACCCGGTGCAGTGGGCAGCCATTTTTTTTTTTTTTTTACATTTTGCGGCTCCCGGGGAGCAGTTGGGGGTTCGGTGCCTTGCTCAAGGGCCTCACTTCTAAAGTGAATTGATGCGTTTGTGTATTGAGGGTGGAAGAGAGCACTGGTCATTCACTCCCCCCACCTACAATCCCTGCCAGTACCGAGACTCGAACCCATGGCCTTTGGGTTAGTCCGACTCTCTAACCACTAGGCCACGTTTATGGTATTACTCGTAATTGCAACTTTATATCTCATAACTGAGATTTTCAGTATATGCAATATTTCTCATGACCATTTATCATAATTGTGACCAGTTCATATCTTATAATTTTACACTTTTTATTACTCATAATTGCAACTTTATTTCCACCATTTCAAAGTTACTTTATTTCTTGTAATAGATATTTCTCTTAATTTATATCTCACAGTTACGACTTGCTTGTAATGGTAAATACATATCCCAATGTGATTTTCCTCTGAACTCTGGTTTTTATTTTGAACTCTGAGGCAGAAACAAGCTTCCAGTTGTTCTAGAGATCGACCAAAGCCTCTAGCAGTGAAAGCTTGGTTTGTTGTGCTGCAACTACACTCAAAACAGAGCCTGCCACAGGATATGATATGGGTTTGAAATTAACTCCTACATTAACTTAACCTTCTGAAATGCAGTACTGACTTTGACGAGTCAGTAATTATACTAGTTAAAGTTACACATTCACAAGATTTAAAGGGGATAGTTCACCCAAAAAAGAAAATTACCCCATGATTTACTCACACTCAAGCCATCCTAGGTGTATATGACTGTATTTCAGACGAAGACAATCAGTTATATTTAAAAATGTCCTGGCTCTTCCAAGTGATGAACGCGGATGCGCAGAGAGAGCAAAACAAAACACCGCTCATGAATTAGAAGTACAAAACGAGGATTTGTAAAGAAAAATATCGGAGGATTTCAAAATAAGCCAAGAGGAGACTAGCATATTCTCACCGGAGCTTATGCTATGCCTCCGTCATCCACTGGAATTAATTAAATATTGCAGTTTAAATGGGTCCTACGTCATCCGCTGGAATGCCTCTCTCTCATGAACACGCGTACGACAATTAGCGGAAGCTAGAGATTATGGTTTATAAAGTTGTAAATATGGATATTTTTCTTACCCAAACGCATTGCTTCACTTCAGAAGGCCTTTATTGAACCCCGGAGCCGAGTGGAGCACTTTTATGATGGACGGATGCACTTTTTTGGGCTTCAAAATCTCAACCTCCATTCTCTGCCATTATAAAGCTTGAAAAAGCCAGGAGATTTTTTTATATTACTCTGATTGTATTCTTTTGAAAGAAGAAAGTCACACACACCTAGGATGGCTTGAGGCTGAGTAAATCATGGGCTAATTTTCATTTTTGGGTGAACTATCCCTTTAAATCATCTTAAATGTTAATGTTTTCAATATTTTGATTTCTTAGGTACTGGTACCAGCAAAACCCATTATCGGTCGACCTCTAGTCATCGCCAGCGGTTCATCTGTGACAAATTGAAGTAGCTGTCTGTAGTTTGTACTGTAGTCTGGACTCCCTCTGTAGACCTTGACAGGATTTGAAACTTAGGCCTGAAACATGCTGGCCAGTACTGATGAATGAGGACCAAAGTGAGCGAATGGGATTTATTAGCATGACGTGATTTTGGAGACTCCGTTTCTTCTAGTCTTCCACATGTAGAACTCACTGTAGCCATGGCAATCTCTGTTGTACTTCCTGATAGAGGCGTGAGGATGACTTCCTCATGAGTCACTGTACAAATCCCATGCCAACGCCCTATTCTCCCAGCTTGCCGAGAGGAGCGCCCTGACCTCTGCCCTACATTTACGCACACCTGCCTGGAAAATAAGCGCTAGGAATTCAGCCAAACAAAGGCGATGCTTGGATAAATAGGAGCGCAAATTATACGCACAGACTCTCGTGCACTGTGAGCTCAGTCATTTGTTCCTCCGCGACCTCGTTGAACTTTCTTCTGGCCTTCTTTTCTCCCTCACACACACACACACACACACACACGGCGTAGGATGCTTGCTCATCTGGTCTTCCTCGGTTGCTTTTCAGGAACTGAAAGGACTTTTTGTTTACATTCACCATGCTGCGCATACTCGAGATGACAAATGCAGATTATGAAGGAGCAATGCAGCATGCGCACACTGCGTTTCTTTATAAACCGCATCCGATGGAAGCCCGACTGTACTCTTGCATTCTTTTAGATTAAAAAAAATATTTTAATATGTCAAGCATTTGCATTAGATGCGCCAAATAACATGGGAATGTCAGCTGGAATTGTAGGTCAAATGACTTGCACTGATTTTATTCAATAAGGAACTACAATGTGCCATCAAACCGCATAACTTATGTGAAATAAACAGAACTGTGTATTTTAAAATTGAATTTATTTTTTTGTATTTAATTCAAGAGTAACAATTTTTTTACCGTATCAATCGTGTTAGTTTATAAGGTCCAACTATTTACAGGTGTAATTCAAGTTTACTGATGTTGACTGTACAGAGTCTGCTATGGGGGGGAAGTATGAAACACACAGGTGTGTGTGTGTGTGTGTGTGTGCCCATTTGTGAATTCATTCTGTTGAGATGAACGTCATGAGCAACATCAGCGGAGGATGGATCCAGTCAGTACTCTTCCTCTTCTCTTCATACATTGTGCTCAATAAGTATTCTTTAGATTAATTTTTGACAAAAAAATATATATACAAACGGGGTTCAAATGCATTCATATCCCCATGTACTTATGCAATGTACATATAAAAAAAAAAAAAAAAACAAGATTTGAAAACGAAAAGTCCCAAAACATTCTTTGGACTCCATAGTGCTTCGTGAAGGTTCTCCTGGTCATCCGTTTTGGGTCTTCTCTTCCTGAGCTCTCAGGCTTTCTTCATCTTGCCGTTGAGAGTGCTTCCATTCTCGTGGTGTTTCTTCCCGTTGCTCAGGCCATTTTCATGCACTCCGTGGCCGTTTGAAACCGACGAGCCATTGGCGACTGCGGTGGATCCGTTGGCCGTGCCACTCTGGGTGCGCTGTTGGGTGTTCTTCGGTAGCCTCTTGCCCTTCACATACGCCTGGTACCAGAAGTTAGAGAACAGCACGAAGAAGAAGGTCCCATACATCCAGATGAGGTGGATGAACAGAGGCACCTGGTAGTCGCAGCTCTCCATGAAGTACCACTGGGTTACGTGAAGAGACACTAACACAAACTGAATCTGTAGAGCAGAGTAAGAAAGTCAGAGTGTCTGGAATACACAGCTCTTTAATTATTACTAAATATAAATATATATACACACATACACACACAAATCCCCACCCGCACACTATTCAATTAAATTCATAATTTTATATATATATATAACAATTGAATAATCATATATATATATATATAACAATTTAATTATATTTAATAATCATATATATATATAATATTTACATATAAATTAATTGTGTAGTAAAATACATATGTATTATATAAATAAATTATTAATAAAAACCAACATTTAAGACCAATCTTTAAGTTTTTTGGGTTTACAGCTCACTTTTCAATTAAATTCATAATTTTATATATATATATATATATATATAACAATTTAATTATATTTAATAATCATATATATATATAATATTTACATATAAATTAATTGTGTAGTAAAATACATATGTATTATATAAATAAATTATTAATAAAAACCAACATTTAAGACCAATCTTTAAGTTTTTTGGGTTTACAGCTCACTTTTCAATTAAATTCATAATTTTATATATATATATATATATATATAACAATTTAATTATAT